CTGCAGAGATTTCACGTGCGCATGATTAGGGTTGGCTTATGTATATATAGGGGAAGGGAATTAGGTCAGAATCTTGCACAAGAATCCATTGGAATGATGATTGAATATTTGATTGAAAATCAAATCTTTTTGCATTTTCATGATTGAAGAAAGTTGCCAATTTTGGAGATATTGCATCTTTGACTTGGTGCACGAAATTGCCAGCATATCTTGACCATGGTTGCTTCACAAAAAGATTGAAAAACCAAATCTTTGTATTTTCCTACAATTTAAATCAATTAAATGAATTAATATTAATTAAAAATCCAATTAATTAATAAAAATAAGAAAATAAATTCAATTAATCTTGATGGGTCGTGCATAGGCCATGGATGAAGTTTCAAGAAGAAATTTGAGGCCCATTAGCAAAAATAAGGTGTTTTGAGCAAAGTTGACTTTTGCAAATTCATGAAAATTTCCCAACTTCTCCAATGCATATATTGCTCAATTTTGATCATATGAACATGTTCTTGGACATTTTGGAAAGGTCTTGAAGTCCTCTAACTAATTCCTTTGATCCCATGTCATTTGGATTTACCAATCTCAAGTTATGGCCTTTGACTTAAAGTGCATTTGTGTTGACTTTTAAAATTGACCTATAATGTAGAAATTGATAACTTTTTGTGAGAGCATTTCTTGGACTTGGAATGTGAAGATGGATTGTAGGAAATGTCATCCCATTCAAAATGAGAATTGGATGGGATTTTTCTAATGAACCATGAAAAAGTTATGCCCTGGTCAAGATACAGTTGACTTTTTTACTGTCCAAAAATAGTAACTTTTTGCATCTTGATGATTTTTGAGCCATTCTTGAGGAATCATGATCAAGACTTGATCAAATGATGATTGTGTACTCAAAATAAGATGTTGACCAAAAATTCCGACTTTTGACTGCAAAATGACCATTTTGCCCCTACAGTTGACTGTAGAGCAAATGGAGCTTTTGATTGTGCAAATTGGCACTATGAGTCTTGAGACTTGGCATGTAGGTGCTTGAGAATATATATAGGCCCATGAGACTTGATTGAACCATTGAGAACCCCAAATTCCTTGGAAGAACCAAAACCCTAATTTCAGCTGTCTTAGGAGGTGGTTTGACTGTCTACCTCTTGAGAAATCTTGAACAATTTAAAGATCATTCTTGACAAATTTTGAGGAATATGGGAGGGAAAATTTTGGGGTACAACACCCAATATGCATACAAAGGGCCAGCAAGGAGCTTGTGGCAAAGTATGAATGTTGTCGCTTCTGGGCCTCAAGCGAAAGGCAGAACTACGTTGATTTCTAGGAAAAATCGAAAAGTGTGACCATCTTGATTCCAGCTCTCAGTCGAAGGAGTCAGAAATCCAAATCAAAGGAAACAAAAAAAGCAGATTCGAAAGGGGCCATGAAGATTTGAGTCGAAGGGTGCTACTGCCTGGGTCGAAGAGCTCATATTTCTTTTCTTTTATTTTGTTTTTGCCTTTACATTTTCTTTCCTTTCAATATGGTTGTAATAGTGTAGGATATTTATTTCCTGCATTTTTATTGCTTTATACAAATGTTAGTAACTAGGATGTATGGTAAGGTAAAACCAATAAATAGGCCACCCTAATCAAAGGCTAAATGCATGTAAATTAAACACACCATTCACACATGCACCCTTAGGATAATTCCACTTATTACCTATCAGAAAATAGTCATGTCCCTCGAACATGGGCGTTTTAGCAAAAGACCCTCGATAAAAGATCGTAGTCCCTCGATGACCCTCGATGTTGCCTTCGGTAAACGATGTAGTCCCTAAAACGATATTGCTAAAACGTCCCATATGTTGCCTTCTATGACTATACAAACGTCCCAACGCCCGTCCCTTCACATCCAACGATGGGGTTTCTTACCAAATGAATGGTAAGATAGCAACATCTAAAGGAGGAGGAAAAGAACATCTAAGAACTTTTGAGTAGGTAGGTTTGCTCTTAGTTACTCGCTTGCTCACAATAAAAACATTTTTACACCAACACTTTCATCTCAAAACACTTTCAAAAGACAAAATGTTTTGTATACGTTCTTATAGAGACGAGAACCATTGCAAAACATCTTTTCAAAATCACTTTCAAAAACACATCTCACAAACACCTCTTTGAACTATTTTCGAAACAAAGACTTTGTATGCATTCTTATAGAGACGAGAACCATTACGAAGTTCCATTTTCAAAAATACTTTTAAAAACCACACACAAAGCACAAATCCAAACAAAAGCAAGTGATCTAGCAAGTAACTAAGAGCCCATGGAAAACCATGGATGAAAAGGGTGCTAATACCTTCCCTTTTCATAATCTACCCCCCGAACTCAAAAACATCTCTAAAGGTCTTTCATGTGCTTTTTCAGCTTTCCTTTTTTGAATAAAAGAAAAGTCGGTGGCGGCTCTTGCTAATCGCAACATTTGCGATAAAACGCAAAACATCAAGTCAATTCTCCCACCATATCACAATCATGCTTTGATTAATAAACTTTTGAGAATCAATGATTGATCAATCTTTGAGCTTGAGCAACCAAACCATAGCTGATGAAACCATGCTTGATGTTCTTGATCCAATCCATACCTTGCAAAACAAATGAGAGAAATAAAGCATATTTTTGGATTTTGGTTAAGTTTAGTAAAACATAAAGATATACAAACACAAATCAAAAGATACACAAGAAGGTGCTTAATGATCTCCTTAGGGCAAGACTTAGAGAGATAATTAGGAGGTCACCAAGTTTGTGCTCTTGATGCGATGCAAAGATGCAAATGAGATTGTATCTTAGGGGTAAAAATTAGGGCATGACAGATCCACGCTTTAAAATGATACAAATGGAATATTAGTAATGACGTAACACAAATGTTATGAAAATTGTACAATATTAGTAAATGTGCAAATATATTACCATAAATAATGTGCAACTAGCTGCCATATGTATGGTCTTCAAAAGATAACCTTTAGCTAACTTCGGGTACAAATAAACTGAAGAAGCCCCCTAGTTATAATCATGAATGCGCTCGAAGTTAATGAAGTATCTAAGTTAAACCACAACGATGTGATAAGCACTTTTGTCCATGAATATTGACGTACCAACAAAATGCATGAAATATGACCTTAACGCACATGCTTTATGATGCAAAACCTACACATTATTACTATCGGCCTGCATTGTCACAACTAGGCTGTGTATATACATGTTCTTTGGTAATGTAAATCTAGTATAACACTCCATTGCTCCATGTCTGGTCATTATAAAGTGGTGTAATAATCTTCCCCTAATAGGAAAATGTAACAAGAATGACAAACCATCTAATGCGATGGACAAGTCACTGTGTAGAAGATGAAAAGATGACATATCAGAGTATAATCTCTCAATGAAAGTTGACAACATACCATGGTTAATAATAATATAATCGACCACGCATAAATCTCACAACCCTAATAACTGCATGGCGTGATGAAACCATGCTCCTCAAGCTCATGCAACCTCACAATCTTCATACCATGATTGACACATTTTAAAGCATAACGGTGATGCAAAAAATGCATCATCGTCAGAAAGTTTGAATATTATAACACACGTGTTTCAAAGAATAAATATTAGTAAATTTTACCTCTTTATCCTATACGTGCGTAGCAATATGATTTATATATAAAGATAGTGGTGAAATGTCATATGGGTCTCCTCTAAATTCCTTAGAACGACAATAATGACAACAAGTGCATCAATATGGACTGACGAGGCTTTCGGGGTAGCATCTGGTGACACCTGACTTTGGGAAGACGAAGTCGGAGACACGTGAACCCTATAAACTGGATGCTTCAGCAGCAAATGAAATAACACCAACCAGTGGTCGCGAGGGTCAGGCTATTTTCATGCGAACAAATGCATGATGGGTCACTCTATCGTACCTCAATCGTTCTTGGTTGTCAGTCATGTTATCTATAATTAAACCAGACAAACAACAAAAATCAATCCCAGATAAGAGGCATTAAAAATCAAACATGCAACATAATACAAAAGTGAACTTCTGTATTCTTGGAAAATCAAATCATGAAAAAATACGGAAGTGCACTTCCGTAATTTCTTAAAACACAGAAAATACAAAACTGGTAAAAACGTAAGGAAAACAAAAATGGCACAAAAATACACGAGTTATTAAACTACCTAATAATAATAATAGGTGTAATTATCTATATAATAATGTTTCTTACACAACCTAATGTACCTATTTCGTAATGCTCGAAGAGAAAATAAAAAAAACATTGGGATTGAAAAACTTGTCAAATATGGAGTTGAAGTTGAAATACATGGATTAAATATAAGTTGAGAAGTAATTAATAAACACTTGAATTGAATGAAGTAGAAAAAACACTTGGATTGGTAAAGAACTTGTGGTATTAAAAAATGTTGATAAGTGATTGAGAGAAGTGATTTTGTTGGAAACGAGGAAGGGAGAAAGTCTGACGCGTATTTGACTCAAATCCTGTTTAAAAGTATATTTCTGTAAGTCATACGAAGATGCATATCCGTAATAATTTTTGATAAAATAAGAGTGTGACTCACTTATAAATGAATGAGGTGTGAAATGAGATGCGTCCGAAGATGATCTCCGAATGTTATAAATATTTTTAGTTTTACATAAGAATGCGTGAGCACCACTAAGGGTGCAAAATGTAATGCCCATAATAAGTACCCATAGACAAAACTGAAAGCCCAGCCCATAAACAAGTAGCCCATTTCTTATCGGGCTGTAATTGAAAAATCTCAGAAAAAGGTGGGAAGCACAAGGAACAAGTTAGAAGCATAGCAATAGCAACTCGAGAGTGTTGTGTCATTGTTTAGGGTTCTACACTTCTTCTACCTCGCCCTTCTCATTTTCCCGATCGCAGTTTTCTCAAATCGCAAACTCAAACATCAATATAGGGTTAGGGTTTTCGATTTTACAAACCAAAAATGGCGTTGGCTTTCGACGAGTTCGGAAGACCATTCATAATCCTCAGAGAGCAAGAAACGAAGAACCGGCTTCGAGGTCTCGATGCTCAGAAAGCTAACATTTCCGCCGGTAAAGCCGTCGCTCGTATCCTCCGGACATCTCTCGGTCCTAAAGGCATGGACAAGATGCTTCAGAGCCCCGATGGCGACGTCATCATCTGTAAGCATTTCCGTTTTTTTTGCATCCGCTGAATGAAACCCTAACATCTGGTTTTCGTTTTTTTTTGTTTAATAGATATAACCGTGTAATTTGTGTTATTATTATGATTTTTTTCGTTGTTATTGCAAATTTAGAGTAACATTTTGTATGTGTGTGTGTTTGTTTGCAGCAAATGATGGAGCAACGATTTTGGAACAGATGGATGTTGACAACCAGATTGCGAAGCTGATGGTGGAGTTGTCGAGGAGTCAAGACTATGAGATCGGCGATGGTACTACCGGAGTTGTTGTGTTGGCTGGATCTCTTCTTGAGCAAGCTGAGAGGCTTTTGGAACGTGGAATTCACCCCATTAGGATTGCTGAGGGGTATGAAATGGCTTCCAGGATTGCTGTTGAGAATCTTGAACGAATTGCTAATAAGTTTGAGTTTGGAGAAACTATTTTGGAGCCTTTGATTCAGACTTGTATGACTACGTTGTCATCCAAAATGTAAGTTAGGTTAATAATTATTACATTATCTGTATTGTACCTTTGTTTTCTATGATGTTGTGTTTATGCATATTTTGTTTTAATATTGCAGTGTGAATCGGTGTAAGCGTAGCTTGGCTGAGATTGCTGTCAAAGCTGTTCTTGCTGTTGCTGATCTAGAGAGAAAAGATGTTAACTTGGATCTAATTAAAGTAGAAGGTAAAGTTGGTGGGAAATTGGAAGATACTGAGTTGGTGTATGGAATCATTGTTGACAAGGATATGAGCCATCCTCAAATGCCAAAGCAAATTGTAGATGCTAACATTGCTATTCTGACTTGCCCATTTGAGCCCCCGAAGCCAAAAACCAAGCATAAGGTTGATATCGACACAGTGGAGAAGTTTCAGACATTAAGGAAACAAGAGCAGCAATATTTTGATGACATGGTTAAACAATGCAAGGTTAGATAGTCTTGTAAATATTTCTACTAATGGCAAAATGATTTTGTAACCACGTATTTACTTATTTTTTTCATATCAACTTTGTTATATAAGTGGAGCACACTTCTCTTGCTTTTAGCTTATGTGTGATCTATTTTGGGTTTATGTTCAAATTGATATACTTATAATTTATGATTTATATTGATTTGTAGGATGTAGGCGCAACCCTTGTTATTTGCCAATGGGGTTTCGATGATGAAGCAAATCATCTCTTGATGCACAGGAACTTGCCTGCTGTTAGGTGGGTTGGTGGTGTTGAGTTGGAATTGATTGCCATAGCAACAGGTATGCTTCAATTAGGGTTGTTTTGATTTGAAACTCAGATTATTCTTTTTATAACTGTGTACTTATGAGTAATGAATGTAGTCTATTCGAAGTTATTACTGATCCATCTCTATTAATTAACAAAAATATTATCTATTTGTTAATGAAGGTGGAAGAATTGTTCCTAGGTTCCAGGAGTTAACTGCAGAAAAGTTAGGAAAGGTATCATTTCAATCCTGATTTTATGTATGGGTTACCTGGACATTTCCTCTTTTTTGATGTAATATATATTTTTTAATTCACATCCAAATGTGGGGAAAGTAATTTTAAACATGTATGTGCTAGTATATTGACATCCCTGCATCTGTTGATGCCTTGGCAGTGTGGCTGCCTTTAACCCAATGATTCTTTTGCTGTCTGTTTGTAGATTTAACTGTAGGTAACATTAATGTTAATCTGTTATAGGCTGGTATCGTTAGAGAGAAAGCATTTGGAACAACTAAAGACCGGATGCTATACATTGAGCACTGTGCAAATTCAAGGGCTGTAACAATATTCATTCGTGGAGGTGAGGTGTACTTTTTGACATATTCATCTTACTGGTCTGCCCTGAATTTGGTGTAATTAGTCATCTTATACGTGAGAGATGGTTTTCAAGTTGTATTGTTGTTTGACACTGTATTTACTACTATAGTACTTGAGACTATGTAGTATTATCACTTTTTATGGAGCTTTATGGAATACACTTTGAGGACTGAAGAGTATTTGAGCATTCTTGACAAATTAACCTAATCTGTCTTGTTTCATACTGGCAGGTAACAAAATGATCATTGAAGAGACCAAGCGGAGTATTCATGATGCACTATGTGTGGCCAGGAATCTTATTCGCAATAACTCAATTGTGTATGGTGGTGGTTCAGCTGAGATTGCATGCTCTATTGCTGTCGAAGCAGCTGCTGACAAATATCCTGGAGTAGAACAGGTATGCATATTATTAATCCACAGTTTAATTTATTTGGGAGATCTGTTTCCAATCATTCTAAACTTGAGTTTTTGTAAATTGGCATCTTCAAAGTTCACTTTCATCCCAATTTGTTAACTTTTATAATTGCAAACAGTTACATCCTGTTTGATTATATTGAATCCAAGCCAAAATATTTAAATTTAAAATATGAAATTAATCTGATTGTTAATTTTCAAATTTTAAGAAGAGGTGAAGTAAAATAATGAAGTCTCATAGTTGTCTCAGTCACACTGAAAATCTTGTCCCTTATTTTGGCGAAGTATCAAGTTTATTTTATAGTCCAAACAAAATCATAAATAGGATATAAAATACCTAGAAACTGCAGGCTGTAGCATATTAGCCTTACCTCAATACTAGGCTACATGGATCACGCAACTCCATAAAGTTCTATCATATTTCTATCCAACTTACTGATCTCTAAATCTTAATAGTTTCCCATGGTTCTTTCTAGGTCTTACCATGCCTCTAGTCCTTGGGGTTTTAGGTCTACATGTGCAAACCACCTAAGCCCTATGTTAGCAGCAATAATGGCACTATATCACCATAGCTTCACGATACGCCATTTAGTATACAATGTTGTCAACACTGTCCCATTTAACAATATTAACCTTCTTACCTAGGTTGTTAATCTCAGATAGCGGCTACGCACCAGATCTCCCAAATGCTATAGCGGATAGCGGGATGACCGCTACTGTGAGCTTTTAATAATCAAGGTAAATACTTAATTTGAAAACATGAATACTAAAAATAGGTCCCAACAACATACATAATGACTCAAACAAAAGTTGTAACATACTTAAACCAAAAGTTGCAACATACATAAACCAAACATAATGACTCAAATTAGGAATGTACTTCAAATGACTAAACCAAATTCTAAACGTAAACAAAATGACTAAATCACATCCGCCACATCTTCACTTCTAAGTTCCACCACATTAATATCATCTTGCTCATCACTTGATTCTATTTCAAACTCTTCTTCTTCCACCTCTAACTCTTCATCTCAGTTAGACATTAATGTAACAAGTCTAGAGTGATGCCTAGTAACTCTTGTTGGTTCATCCCCAGCGGCATTATCAACAACTTCCAAAGTCAAACCTTCTTCTCCTAAAACCAAATCATCTTCCAATATTCCATTTTCATCCTCATTTTGTTTGCAACCATTCATAACATTCATCAATAGGGTTGAGAAAGATTGATGTTTGTTGTGAAGAGAAGAGAGAACGTTGAACTTGTTGTGAAGAGAAGGAGAAGGAGAACGTTGAACTTGCTGTGAAGAGCAAAAGTGGAAGTGTGATGTGAAAACAGGGGAGAAGGAGAACATGACTGCTGATTTTAGTGGAGAGAGAATGTAAATGACCTAATGCCTCACTTTTAGCTTTTATATTAGTGAAATAAAAGGGAAAAATACAAAATTTCCCTATTTTTTCTTTCAAAATTACAATATTGACCTCATCTTCACAAAGCGGTCTGTGAAGTGCTACAGAACCGCTATTGCGCCGCTATTCCACTGCTACGCCTCCGCATATCGCAGCCGCTATTTCCACTATTGCAGATAGTCCAAAAGCGTCGCGGCAAGGTCCTTTACCGCTACGCGATACTGCTATAGTGCGCTACTGACAACCTAGCTTCTTACATTCTAAGCATTTGGTATGTCAACACTTGCTAATCCCGCTATGCTATACATAATTAAATATATTTCACATTATATAAATCTATTAATATGTGAATTTTCTTCTCCACAACTCATCTCAAGTATACATTTCGTCTAGTCTTGCTTCACATATCCTCATTACTGCTATGGTTAGTTTATTCTTGTGTTGATTCTTATGGAAACATGTCGTGTTTTCATTTTCTAAAGTAGGTGTTTATTCATCATTTTAACTTGCTATTAAGGCTTTTATTTATTATTTTCCTATTTGTAATAGATTTAAAAGAAATGATTTTTTTTCGTATTTTCAAATATGTTTTTATTATTTTTTTATAAATAATTAAAAGTTATTCAAATGCGTTTTTTATTAATTAAAAGACTAAGTTTGACACTTAGTAACATAAATATTCATTATTGAAGATTAAAAACATAGTAAAAATCCCATAGTTTATCAAAAAGATATATTTCAAAAATGATTTTTAAGAAGTTATTCGTAGAGTTTCAAATTAAAGTGAATTTTTGATAGCTAAACGTAGTCATTACTAAAAGAAAAGATTAAAAACCTTGAATAATTTTTTTATAAAAATCAGTTTAAACAATTTTTCATCAGACATTTTTATTTTAAATTTCTTTTGTAATTTTTTTAACAAAAATATGTAATATTAAAAAAATTATTTTAATTAAAGCTGAAACAAACAAGCCTAATTTCTAATACTCTTACAAAGAGCATTTTTGATAGAAAGAAGATGAAATGCTAGTTAGAAATGATGCATTTAAGGAAATAATGAAAACAATGTTTTTTCATTCTTGTGTTTCTAAAATATGCACACTAATTGCCCCTTATAAGCAAGTAAAATTGACATAGATTTTAGGAATAAACATTGAAAACCTTTTCACCTTATTTTTCCAAGAAAGACCATTTTATTTGCTCTTTTTTGTGTTAATGGATCAAATGTGTTTTTATTAGTCATACTAATTGCTACTATTTGGTTATTGATTAATGCTCTGTTGATTGTGATTTTTTCTTTTCCTTGCAGTATGCCATTAGAGCATTTGGTGATGCTTTGGAATCTATCCCCATGGCCCTTGCTGAAAATAGTGGTCTTCAACCAATTGAAACTTTATCTGCTGTGAAGTCTCAACAAATAAAGGTAATAATTGAATACCGCTAGCCTGATTATTACTACTCAGTCAATTACAATCTTTTGTCTGCTTGGTTGCTAATCAGTGTCTTTATAATTTTCTGTTTGTCTTGACACTGACTTTAATTCTTCTTTCAGGATAATAATCCTCACTTTGGCATTGATTGCAATGATGTTGGCACAAATGACATGCGGGAGCAAAATGTCTTTGAAACTTTGATAGGAAAGCAACAACAGATATTGCTTGCTACTCAAGTTGTCAAGATGATATTGAAAATTGATGATGTTATTTCTCCATCTGAGTACTAGACTAGTACACCTATTTTTGAACTTACGTTGCATGTCAAAGGCTCAGAAATTGCTGATGGTATTTTTGTTCGTCCTGTATGATTTTAGTCAGTTTGTATTTTAACTTGAAGTATATTTATGTTATGATTTTGGCATGTTTTTGTATTGGATTAAGGGCGACTGTTCTTTTGTTTGATGCATTTTTATATTTAGTTTGATTATTATGAACTTGTTTTATCAGTCCTTTCAAGTTGCCACTATTGTTATATATCGGGGTCGTTTGTACTGGATTGTGAGTGAAGTCTCAAAATTGCGACAGTGCAAGCTGCAGACAAACAATGTTTGAAGGAGTTATATATATTTAATACTGCGCAAGTGTATCTAATCATATATTACCAGTTACTCCCACCGTTGCTTTTACTTTTTAGTGACACTTAAAAAGGAATACTTTTTAGTGACACTTAAAAAGGAAAAAAGGAACGGAGAGTATAATTTATTTGTATTATGTATATTACAAAACAATATCGTAAAATAAACCAATAAGGCTGGCTTTGTATTATTGTATATTTAACTAATCAACTAAAGGGCAACAACCATTATTTATCACATTAACACAAGCTTGTTTTATTCTTTTTACTATTTGTTTCTACTATCCAATTGTAGGTATTGGCTGTTACATATGTAAAAAGTTGCCAATTTTTAAATGCTCATATCATGACTAGCCAACCAAATTAATTAGGACTCCTTGTGGAAATGGAGGGTTGCACTTAGAGTGCTGTGTCGATTTTACCTATTTAGAATTTAGATTCAGTGGTCAATGAAAATGAAAAGCAAACGCAAATATAAGGCGATGCCTAGATATTTTGTTTCAAATATGGTAATTTCATTTCACATCTTTGACAAAAATCTAAAAATGTTTCTAATTTTCGAAGATATGCACTTATTTCTTATAGAATTGAATGTAAATGAACGAATATCTTCATCATATTTAATTTTAGAGATGTATTTCTAGATAAATTTTTTTTTTATTTTAAATAATGATATTTTTGAATATATATATTCAAAAAATTTTCTATTATATATTTTTTTAACTTAGTATTAAACATATTTAGATAGACGAATCTATTATTCGTACATGAATAATATAATAAATATGTAAATACTAAATAATGTCTATAGAGAAAAACAATTGAAAATAGAAAAATAAATCAAATTAAGAGTCTATAAACTTTTTTTTGAAAATATAAAAAACAAAAAATAAATCAAATAAAATAGAAAAACAAGGAACTTAATATTTTTAAGATAGTTTTTCATATTTAGTCCTTAAATAAAGGATTTTGATCCTTGATTTTTTACGATGAAATGACACGGTAAAATTTCGATTTAGAGTCGATTTTCTAGAAAATCGACAATTTTACACTAGACCACAAATGTCAGAAATGCAAGAACGTAAGAATCAGAATGCGAGGATATAATTCCTATGATTTTAATATTGGTTAAAATTGACATATAATCCTTGACAATGCAATTCAATGAAAAACGTGTAGTAATGAGGTCATGAATGTTTTTGAAGATATATCTCCGAATTTATCTTTAAAAAATTAAGAGATATATCTTCGAATTAATTTGTAATAAAAATGGGATAAGGTGCATTCCAAAATACATCTCCAAAATATATTTAGATTTTCAAAGAGGAGAAGAAGGTACAAGGGTTGGAAAAGAAACTACCTTCAGATATTTGTAATTACTACTATCTTACAACAAACGCTTCTATCTTACATTACCCTTTATGGAAATGGATGTCACTTGTCCTAATTGATATGCTATTCCTCATTTCATCAAGAAACCAAATTTTGCAACGCCCCTACTAAATATTCTAGAACTCTAGTAGCATTGGTAACCCTTTTTGCAACTAAGAACTCCTGCCCCTGCTGTCATTGAAGCCACAAGCATAGGTGGTCGTGCTGACATGCTCGACGCTTTGGCATAAGTCGAAGATGATGCTCCTGCTCCCGACGGCGTGAAGTAGGCACCATTCAACATTAGATCTCCTTCAGACCTCCAATTCCAGTTCTTCCATTCACCTTCTGATGAGTCAAAATGCTTTGTAATCTGAAAATGACAGAATCAATAACACATCATATTTTACAACATAGTACTTCACAAAACTAGTAACATGTATTTGTTTGTCTTACAATAATAACATTCCTTAGTTAGCACCTAGTATAGTATGTTTACATTGTTTTCAATTTTTTTAGTGTATCTTTTACCTCTTTGTGATCATCATCATCCGGAGCTAGAAATCTATTGCCTTGACTGAAAATAGTCGGGGACGAACTTCCACCTATGGCATACTGTTGCCAATGCGTGTAATCGTTGTTCACCACATGAAAGTATCCAAATCTGCATCTGCAAAAATGTTTAAAATGTTGTAAGACAAATCTATTAAAATACTGAAACCTTGAGAGGAACACACTCTCAGGTGGTAGAGAAAAATGAGCTAATTAACCTACCTTGGCATTCTTCCTCCAAGCCCTTCACCAAAATGATTAAAAGCAATAGTAGCTTGCATATTTTTATCCTCTTGATAAGAATCACTATGTCCAAAAAGCATGACTTTGTTATGGTGTGTCATATAATTATTCGAAATAGTCACACCCGTCGATCCATGAACGACATCAATCAAACCATCAAAACAATTCGACAAAGAACAATGATCCACCCAAACATGTTCCGAACCAAAGATCGTAATCCCATCACCATCCGATCGAGTTTTCATCACGCGATGATTAGGCGAATCACTCACATAGCCACTCCCACCTCGTACACAATGATGAATATGTATACCGTGAATTATAATGTTAGTCTTTTGTTGTATTCTAATACACGGTCCTTCAGCAATGTGCACATTTGCTCCTCTACCATCAATTGTTTTGTAGGAGTTCACAAGAAGATCCATTTTAAGATTAATCACCATGTCGTGTTTGAAAATGATCCATAATGGTTCTTGTTGGATAGCAGCATGTCTTAATGTTCCTGGCTTGGGATTTATAGGGTCATCAGATGAGTCAATGACCATGTAGTATTTTCCATCTTTTCCTCCCATTGCATGTCGGCCGAATCCGATAGCACATTCGGCCAGACGTTTGCGGTTGTTTTCCCAATTGGGGTCACATCTCCAACAATCATCAATTGGGTTGTTTGTGCTACAAGAATAATAACCCAATTTTCTTCTGTTTTCATTCTCAATTATGCTCCTACAGACACAAACAAACAAAATTAACTCATGATTCATGATCTTTTTTTTTTAAAGATAATTTGGTCACATATATAAAATGGTAGTACTAGATAACATACTTTTGGACTTGTTGGACCACTGACTCAGGATCTTGAACTGGAGAAGAATGTATGAAAATTGGGACAAGAAGCAACAAGTGCAACATTAGTGTGGTTGGAAGTGCCATAATTGAGAAGATTAGTAGTGACTTGTTCTTTAAGAGACATAGAAGTTGAGCTCATATATAGGTAGCAAACTGTGGAAGGAGGATCCTAAATTTTGATTAAACAAAAAGGTTTGTCAAATGTGATTTGTGGATTTAGGGACCCTACAATTGCTTCCCTATATATGAGGTATCTTTCTTCTAAGGTCAATTCATATACTCAAATACTAATTGATTAATTAGCAACAAATTTTCCTTTTCAGGAGTTAGGAGGACATTATTAATAAGAAAATATACTAACAAAATAAAATAAGATTACACTACACTGGAGTTTGAGCTATATATGAAATTTCTGTCTTATATAAGAAGTACTCTAAGAGATGACACCATTAGAATATCCCATTTTGTTTTTATACCATTCATTTGTAATTGTGCTGCTAACTGGTAGTTAAGTGAAGTACATTTATGTTTCTTAACTTATCTATTTTTATAAAATAATATCGAATATCACTGCACATAATTGCAAAGATTAATTCTTCAAGTCGGAAATGATTATTGTTGTCGAGAGTTGAACTCTAGATTAACAATTCAAGTCCATTCAATTCGACTAACAAATACTTATATTATCCAATTCAACCCATGTTATTGCATTATTGAATTACTTTACATTTAAAAACATACTCATCGGCCTCAAAGTTGTGTTGGCACAATTCAGGAGGATCAAACGAGGAACATTTTTCATTTTGGGAACTTTCATTTTTTGAGCAATACAATTTTATGAGAGACACACACCACACGTTCACCCAAAAACTTAAGGTGTTAGGTGAGTGAGTTCTCTCACTTGTAACCTCCTACAGACATTTCAATACAAATTGATCACTTTTTCGAAACCAGACTCTGATACTATTTATTGACACAATTCCGGAGGGTGTTCAAACGAGGAACATTTTTTACTTTGAATCTTTTTTTGAACAACACACATTTGTGAGAGACATACCACATATTCACCCAAAATATTAAGGTGATATGTGAGTGCGTTCTTCCACTTATAAATATTCAAGTTCTCACCTTCCTAACCAATTTGGATCTTCCCCACACTTAAAATTCTTTTTCAACAATATACTTATATTTATTAAAGAAGATATTTAAGTACATTCAATTTCTTTTGATTTATTATAAAAAAATAAGAGTGATAATCTATTTTGATCACTCACAAAAACTCTAAAATCTAAATTAATCTCATAAAAAAAAGAGTCATTTACAAAAATTGACACTTAATTGGAGTTTTAATCTCCCTATTTACATATTTTAAATATTTTAGTCTCCCTATTAATTTTTTCCAACCTTTTGATCCCTCTAGTTGTTTGTGCTTGGTTTTTTTAGTCCCCCCTATTTTGATTAGGTGGCACTGAAATAAGTGACATGGCATGGAAGTTGGATTGACACGTCATTAAATAAGTTGACCAAAGTTTTTAATTTCTGAATATTATATTTTTTATTTAATTTGTTAATAAAATAATAATACAATTAGTTTATAAATTGAAAAATTAAGAGTTTCAATTGTTTAAAACTCAGAAACAT